CTCTGGATTAATTTGTCCTTGAACAAAGAAGAATAACAGAAAAAAACCCTGGACTTTGGGGTCAAACTGATTTGGACTGGAATTCCAGGTTTAGCTCATACTAATAAAGTGATCTTGGGCTTAATTCACAAATCTTTCCCAAGCCTCAATTTCATCAGTCACAAAACAGTGATCAAATTGAGTGTGAAGCATTATTATGACAATTTAAAAAATACAATGTATACGAAAACACATTGATAAAATAATATGCAATAAAACCTGAAATGATATGGAATGTATTAAAATACTGCTACGTGCCAGGCACACATTAAACACCCAACAAATGATGTTAGTTGTTATCGTCATTGTCTTACTCTTCTGGGTACACGGCTGGCAACTGAGCAATCAAATCAAGTTTAATAGCACTGTATTCCTAGGCTGCCACAATAGAGCCAATCAATAACTGCATATCCTTTGTGCCTCCTGGTGCAGTGATTCTTAGACTTTCATATGCATATGAGTCACCTGGGGTTCTAGTTATCAGTGCACACTGATTCAGTGGGTCTGGAAGGGGTCCAGGCCCTGAGTTTCTAAGGCGCTCCCTCCCAGGCAACATGGATGCCACATTCTAGGGACCACACTGCGAGAAGCAAGGCCCTGGAGGTCAGAATAGGCTGGCAACGGTATTTGCAGATGAAAAACTTTCATATTGTACATCTGTAAGTCCAAATTATTTCTTATTTAAGATAACAATGAATCGATCTATCTTGCTCTTTTATGTTCAGAAATGATGCTAGACAAAAAATGAGCACAGACAGGGTCGATGAATCTTCTGTAAAAGGTCAGTGTAGTCCACAAGCTCTTGTCCCTCTGTCCTCCCCAGGGATCTGTCCTTGTGAAACCAAGAATTTCCATTTCAGTTTTTGCGAAATGGTTTTAAGCCTTATTCTCTCTTAGCCTACACTTTAAAGATTTCTTTTTCTTTCTAGTCTAATTGTGTGCTTCCTTGAGAAATTCCAGAGGCTATTCCAGAGGCTGCCTTTGGAACAACAGAGTGTGGAGACCCCAAGACAGAATTCTCCATTGTTTAGAGATGGCCTGAAGATGATTGGTTTACAACCTAGCTGCAACTGGGATGGCATCAGCCAGCTCTCTAGGTAGACAATTCAGGATCACCATGGAAGCAAGATCTGCTCCTGCTCCCTGAGACTCCTCATTCCATTCTTTCCCTTTAAAATCCCCTATCCCGTTCAGCTTCGATGGGCAACATGGTTGGTTCCATGTTTTGGCAGTAGTGGGAAACTGTAAGGGGAGGAGGGGTGGGATTGGCAGTTGAGGGAAACTGCTAGGAGAGGGAGGGGCATACCTCATCAACAAGGGTACCTGCATAATCAACGTTTGTATACCTATCCCTGAATAGTACCCCACATCTTTATGAAATAAATAAATAAAATAAAATAAAATCCCCTATCTCATCTGGGCTTGGTGGCTCAGCCTGTAATCCCAGCGCTTTTGGAGGCCGAGACCAATGGATTGCCTGAGCCCCTGGGTTTGAGACCAGCCCAGGCAACTTGACGGGACCTCATCTCTACAATAAATCAAAAAAATTAGCTGGGCACAGTAGCGCACAGCTGTAATTCAGCCTACTTGGAAAGCTGAGGAGGAAGGATTTCCGGAGCCCAACAGGTCAACGCTGGGGTGGCCATGAGTGTGCTACTGTACTCCAACCTGGGCGACATAGTGAGACTCCAATGCAAAAAAAAGGAAAGAAAGAAAGAAAGAAAAAAATCCCCTATCCCTGATCTAAAATTTTTTAAATGGTTTATTTGAGGCATGGGCCTGGTCATTTGCTGGCTTTTGTAACAAAGTCACCTTCCTTGTACTAAATCTCGTGCTTGTGTACTTTAGCAAGTGACGAGTCGCAGAACTTGCTATCGGCAACACTTGGATGTGCTGATGGAGTTTCCACATGAACAGTTGGGCACAGTTTATGTCTAATCCTCTCCCTGCTCTCTTTGGACTCTGCTGGGTCACACTCATTGGTCACATACAGGGGGTGGAAATCTCTCACACTATTCTGAAGCTCTGTCTCCTGTGTGGCAATTGTGCACTAGGGTATTTTCACCAGTACTACTATAATGTTTGACTCAAATTGGGGTGACATTTTAAATACTGCCTATTTACAAGCCCTTTGGAAAGGAATTTAGCAATATCTAAAAAATTACATAGGTATTTACCCTTTGAACCAACAGTCCCACGTCTAGAAATCTACCCTGAAGATAGCCCTTTGTTGTAGGTAGAACGATGGAGCCAAAAGATGTCCACACCCTGATCCGTATAACCTGTGAACAGGGAACTTTATAGATACAATTAAATTAACGACCTTGCGATGGAAAGACGATCTTGACTTAATCAGGTGGGCTCAATGCAATCCAAGTTCATTACAGGGTGAGAGAGGGGCAAAAAAGGTCAAACTGATTTGATATGAGAAGGGCTTAACCCACGGTTACTGGCCCTGAAGATGGAGGAAGGGGTCATGCGTCAAGGAGGGTGGGCGGCCTCTAGAGGCTGGAAAGGGCAGGAAAGGGATTCTTCCCTAGGTCCTTCAGAAAGGGTCACACTTCATGTTAGCCCAGCAGGACCTTTCATACTTCTGACCTCTAGAACTGTAAAATAATACATTTGTGTTGCTTGAAGCCACTCCGTTTGTGGTAATTTGTTGCATCAGCAACAGAAAACAAATACACCTTCCACAGACTGCAGTGGCATATGCATAAGGCCAGCATTGTGGTTTATTTGTAACAGCTGAAGGTTGGAAACAACCCAGATGTCCATCCAAGGGAACTAGTTGAGTTTTTAAATACAGTGGCATCCTCTGCATCTTTAACAAAGAATGGGGAACATTCCTATACCCAACGTGGGCTGCCCTAGAGGGAACTTTTTTTCAAGTGGAAAAAAAAGTAAAGTGTATGGCTTACCACCTTTTGTGTAGGAAAGAGGGGGCAATAAAAATATATTCTTATTTGGTAACGAGGCACACTATAAATTAATTAAAATAATTACTTATACTGTGTGGAAAGAAGGGGCTAGAGAAGGAAGAAAGACTTCAGGGAACATTTTTGATATATAATTTTGACTCTTGGACCATGTAAATATTCAAGAAATAATTCAAGAAATATTCAAGAAATAATATTGAATTTTAAAATAATTTTAAAATAAAATTAAAATGTTTGTGTTCAAGTTTAATAGTTTTCTGCCTATGATCTGTATTCTAAAACCTTCTTGGACTGTCCACTCTTCTCCTAATAGAAGTCTATCCCAATGCAAAATAAATACCCAAGACCAAGAAACGGCTTCCTGACAGAGCTATCAAACTTGCAGTTTGATGGTGGGTTGGAAGAGACCATGTCTGCTGATTTCACTGTTCCTTAAATAATATTCTGACTTACAAAGCAAATAATTACAGACCAACCAATTCCATAGAGTTGGCAACAGCACCATCTGGTGGGAAAACCTAAAACTTTAAAACTGCGGTACATGTATTTTCTTTTTTAAGGGGAAATTTCTTTTATGCTGAAATTCTGTTATGTGGGAGGGGGAGCAGTCAGAAATGGTTGATTAGTAAGACCTTATTAACTCCTCTGTGAAATTAAGCTCACTCTCAACACAAGATTCTGATGGAATACATTTTAAAGTGCATGTGACATGCACAATACTCTCAATGAAACTGCATGCAACAAGAAGCAATTTTGATGCAATTTATTTTAGTATACATTATAGACATGCCAAATCCATTTTTTTAGTTTTTATAATGAATATTATAAGAATACAGCCAGTTTAAGTACGAAACAAAACAAAACAAAAACCCAGCAATAATGAATTATAATATTGTCTCTGATTATCTGGGTTCCTAAAAATGAGATCATAGAAGCACCTATGAGCTTAAAGTCATTGGGGGAAAAAAGCACTTTATTTGTTTTTCATCCTTTCTTTACCAGTACTGGCAAATGAATGAAAATATTTATCTGCCTAATTCTTATCAAAAATAGGAGATACTCTCTATTTATTTATCTATACAAATAAGATAGATTAGGGGTACAAGTGCATCTTTAGCATATGGACATGTTGTATAGTGGTGGGGATTGAGTTTCAGTTGTAAAATGACTAAATATGAGATTGAACTAGAGAACTGTGGCAGTTAGGTAGCCTAGGGTAAAAATAACTTTGTTTTTAAATAATCTTGAAATAATCATCATAAACAATACTATTTGGATAATTGCTTCCACACCCAAACGGCTGTCAGATTCAATTAGAAAGAAATGTGTTAAGCATGAACTGTGAGCCCTGCCCTATCCTGATTCTGGGAGTGGGAGGGGTCATGGAGCTGCCTACAAGATGAGGAAGCTTCTTTAAAATTAACCGCAGAGTTTTGCATTTGGCCATCAGTAGCATTGAGGGTGGGGGCATGTGGCTAGAGAAAATGGCTTGAGGTCCCAAGGTCAGAGAAGAAATAACTTGAAGGAAGAGAGGCAGGCATGAAGATGAACCAAAAAAAAAAAAGACAAACATAAGGCTGAAAGAAAACTGGATGCTTAAAAGATGGGAGGGGCTGGGATCAATGGCTCAGCCTGTAATTCCAGCACTTAGGGAGGCTGAGGCCTGAGCCCGTAAGTCGAGACCTGCCTGGGCAAGTTGGCGAGACCTCATCTCTACAAGAAATCAAAAATTAGCCGGGCGCGGTAGCGCGCGCCTGTATTTCCGGCTACTTGGAAGGCCGAGGTGGAAGGATCACCGGAGCCCAGCAAGTCGAGGCTGGGGTGGCTGTGAGCGTGCCACTGCCCTCCAGCCTGGGCGATGGAGTGAGACTCCAACTCAAAAAAATAAAAAAAATAAAAATAGAAGACAGGAGGGAGAAAAGTTGTGGAAATTCATGTGCAACTTTTCCACAAGCAAAATACAGGTATTTCTCCTTCCCCTTTCGCTAACCCTGGGTTAGGGGCGGGGTTGCACTGGGGAATTACCGTCTCTCCTGGCATCCGCTATCACCTTAGCTGCCGACCTGCTCATCACGTGCACGATGTAAAGCGGGCAGTTGACAGCGCTGGCTATGGTGATGGCTCTCTGCGTGGCCTCTGCCTCCACTGCCTCTGGGCGGCACAGCTCGTGGCCCTCAGGGCCTGTTATCCCCAGAGCCAACATCTTCTTTGCTCCCTAAAAAGACAGCAGGAACATAAAAAGACAGCAGGAATGTGCACACGTGCAAGGAAAATTTACTGATGAACACACCATTATTTTATTGTAAATTAAAAACATTGCCAAGATTCTAGCTCTGTATAGGGGTGTGTGTGTGTGTGTGTGTGTGTGTGTGTGTGTGTATACATGTGTGTATGTGGATGTGTTTGTGGGTGTATACGTATACAGTGAATGTATTTTATAAAAATAGTTTTACTGTTCTGATTATATATGTTACTTTTCCGTATGCATATATCACCATCAAATTTTTTTTTTTTTGGAGATGGTGTCTGCTTTTGTCATCCAAGATGGAGTGCAGTGGCATGATCATAGCTTACAGTAGCCTTGAACTCATGGCTCAAGTGATCCTCTTGCCCCACCTTCCTAAGTAGCTGGTACTACAGTCACAGGCCACCACACCAAGCTAATTTTTTTATTTTTATTTTTTGTTAGTGCTGGGGTTCTATGTTCCTCAGGCTGGTCTTGAACTCTAGGCCTCAAGTGATTCTCCCACCTCGGTCTCCCAAAGTGCTGGTATTATAGGCATGAACCATCACACCTGGCCAAATCATTTTGATTGGAAAGGTGAAAAAATCATGAGGTTAATTCGAATCACATTATTTGAAAGGCAATGTTCATATTTAAGACTTAATATTGGTTCAGACCATCAAAATAAAATCCTATAGATTCTTGTTGAAGTGACCCATTCTCTTACATTTGTCTTACATTTTTACTTGCTTCCCAACCCAACCCACTAAATTGTGTTGGATCAGTTATTTCCCCTCTTCAACACTTTATTTCTTCTTGCCAAAAAAGGTAAAAAAGTTAAGACTCAGAGTGGCAAAATGACTTGCCCGGTGTCACGCAGCTAGGAAGTGGAGTTCATTTTAACCCTGGCCTGGTTTTTTGTTTTTTTACAACTCATGCCCTCTTTCATTATTTGCCTCTGCCTTCTGGCCGCTGAGTCTCAATCTTCCTCACTTTAATGGGATCTGAGCCTAGGGAGTGAAAAATCAGCTAATATAAAGGGTAAGAGACAGTTCTTTAAATCTTGCAGATGGTGTACCCTTCAGGCATTAATAATGGGACTAACGTGAGAAATAAATATCCTCTAGATTCCTCCAGAACACATTTTAATACCCAGTTTCTGCAAAGAGCAGATCTTTCAACAGCTACCTAACACACTGCTTTAAGTCATCAGGTTACGCTGATGTTGTCTGCATTTGGGCATTCGAAGTCAGCAGCCTGAGCCGCCACCACAGCACCCAAACCAAAGCCGTGCTGGGGACACAAAGAAGAGTACTGGTGTGTTTATAATAACACACGTCTGAGATCTAAGAGCTGGTTTGGAAAAGGGGAAATCCTCACTCAAATGCACATATAGCATGAATAAAACCCAGAGCAAGGACTCAGGCAAACTGAGTCAAGAGTTTCTGGGCCATGGAAAATTCATTTCTGGGTTTCTGTTTTTCCAGTGCATCAAATGATTTTATCTATGTAGGGCCAATCGTCTTCATCTCAAACTACAACTGCTTTCACTTCTGGAGAAGGTTTGGAGTGCAAATGCTCACCTCTGCGATTAAGTCTCCATTTTCTGCGTGGACTTGCGCAATTGCTCCAATTTCCTTGCACTGAGAGAAGGCGGCGTACAGCTCTGGGTCTCTCACCATGTACACATCTTTATAGGCCATGAACATCTTGAAAGAGTTCACACCTTTGTCTTGGGCAAGGATTTTCATTTCTTCCTTAACCTAAAAGGGAGCGACAACAACATATTACTCTAAGTGATACACTCAACAGTCTCCAAAATATTGCCTTCAGAAGAGAACTGAATGAAATAAGGACAACAGTTTAGCTCCAGGAAATGCAATTAAGAACTTGATCTCTCTCCCAGGTTGTACTTCATTTCATCTGATAAACTGCTCCTGCCATGATGCATGTGTTTGTTGTCTATTTTGAGACAGGATCTTGCTCCGTTACCCAGGTTGCATAATCATCACTCACTGCAGCCATGAACTCCTAGACTCAAGCCATTCTCTTGTGTCAGTCTCCAGAGTGGCTAGGACTACAGGCGAATGCCACCACGCCCCATTGTTTTATTTTTTATTTTTTGTAGAGATTGGGGGGCTTCTCATTGTGTTGCCCAAGCTGGTCTCGAACTCCTGTGCTCCAGTGATCCTCCTGCCTCAACCTCCCAAAGTGCTGGGATTACAGGCATAAGCCACTGTGCCCAGCCTACAGTACTTTTAAATCATGAAAAAGTCCATAGCTTTTTCCAAAGTATTTCATTTCTGTACTTGGATATAAAATTTTCTGCATGTATCCCCCCAACTTGAGGAAAGTATAATAGAAAATGAAGACAAAGCCATGTGACAGCAAATGGAAGCCTAGATTCAGGGATCCAGCAAGAATGAAAGTTAATGTGGGGTAAGAATGTGGGCTCAAAAGGAAAAGTCACAAGAGTTCTGAGAGGAAGGAAGTAGAAGATATGGGTTGACCCAGGCGCGTCTAAGAAGGTCCTTGCTCAATGGTCCCCTTTGGAACTGTGGCCAGCACATGACCCGCTGGCAACTCCCAGGAGGTAGGAGCTGGCATCTCAGGAGACTCGACCAGTGGGAAGCTCAGGGGCCTTCAAGGGTTGCCAAGTGTAAGGGGCAAGTCAAGGTCAAAGCTCACTCAGTAACTGTCCCTTCAGGTTCAGTTAGAGTCTTACTAAGGATTAAACATTTCAGAGAAAAAAACAGTAGATGTGACAAAATAAAACTGTTTAACTTTTAGATGTTAAAACACACACACAAGTAATGAAAAGTATAACAAGCATAGGATTATTACTCTTAGTTAATATTAACTCTGTCAACCTGATAAGAAAAACCCAGGTGAAAAATGCTGCCAACAATTCATGGAGTAAAAAATGACTAATATATGTGTGCAAAAAACGTTAACCTTCGTACTAATTAAAACGTGTAAAATAAAGCATTGTGACTGTTTTCTGTTGAATCAGTGAAGTTCAAAACTGATATTACTTGTGAAGTTATCCACTTCTATCATGGTTCATTCCCCTGCGAATTTTCCTGCCCTATTTTGGAGGTGCTCCGTTGCAAACAAGCTACATATTTACTTTTCGGTCAATTGTCCATTTCAACCCCATGAGAGGACGAGCTTGGTAAGGTTTGTCCATTGCTGTATCCAAGAACAGCACCTGGGATGTAGTGGCCACTCAATAGCTATTCATTTAGTAAATGAATAAATGAACCACTCATTAATTAATACAGAAGTAGCAATGGAAAAAGCATCAAAATGCTGAGAACAGACAAGCGACAAAAGGAGCTCCAAGATAGTTAAGTGACAATAGCAAGGAGCAGAACGTGGGACAGTCTGCCTCATTTTTTTCTCTATAGTTTCAATTTTTCTACAATCAGTATATTCTGTTTATAGACAGGAAAAAAATGTTGTTAGCATATTCTCAAACTGGGCTTCCCAAGGGGAGTACGATCTGCATTGCTTATGTGAAATACCTTTTAGTCCCTGAGTGGAAGAGCCCTTTCTGAAGGTGACCTCATTCATCATCCCTGTCACCCACAGCCAAGGAGAAGTCTCATTATGCCACTTGCAAGCAAAATAGCTTAAGCCCTGCTCCTCCAAAGGTGTGGTACTTCAACCAGCAGCCACAACATCACCTGGTTGCTTGAAATGCAGAGTCCCAGGCCCTACTGCCCCCGATCTATTGTTATGGCTAGGCTTTTGTGTCCCCCAAATCCATATGTTGAAGTCCTAACACCTTTATTTGGAAATAGCATCGTTGCAGATGTAATGAGTTAAGATGAGCTAATTTGTGCAGGCTGTAGTCCACTATAATTGGCGTCCTTATAAAAAGGGGAAATTGGAACACAGGCAGGCACACAGGGAGAACATCATATGACGAGGAAGGCAAAGACTGAGGTGATCATCTACAAGATAAGGGACACCAATGATTGTTAGCAAACTAGCAGAAGTTAAGAGAAAGACATGGAACAGGTTCTCCCTCAGAGCCCTTAGAAGACACTAACCCTGCTGACATTGTGATCTAAGATTTTTGGCCTCCAGAACTGGGAGAAAATCAATGTCTGTTGTTTAAGTCATTCTGTTTGGGGTATATTCTGTTTGCTAGGGTTACAGCAGCCCTAGCAAACTAATAAACCTACTGAAGAGAATTTGTACTTTAGCAATATTTATCAGGTGACCATTTGTATATTAAAGGTGTGAGAAGCACCAGTAAGGACCAATACCATCACCTTTGCTCCATCTTATAAGAGAAAGGAGGAAGAAAGAAAAGAAGGGAGGAGGAAGAGCAGGAGAAAAGGAGGGAGAGGGGAGGGAAGAAAGGGATAGTTCTAAAACACATAAGCGTTCAGATGCATTACTTAGAAGGACATTTTTGGAGAAAAATTAGCTTGAGCTGTGGACTATAAACCCTACTATTATGTTTGCTGAACGATCTGTTAAAGACTGATTCCTTGTTTTATATTAACTTGGTATCTAAAGTCCAAGTTTGGGTGGGGAGGTGAGAGTATAAGTTACTCAAATAATGTCTTCCTGGCGAATACTTTGTAAAAAGATTTCTGAATTAAGTCCCATCCCAAGCAAAAGTTTCTTCTAAAGTTCACACACAAATTTATATGAGGAGAAATCAATATTTTAAAACATTTCTCTAAACTGTCTCTTCTATCTAAATTAATTCATTTCTGCCAAGGTCTGGGTAAGTCGTGGATGTGCAAGGTTGCTTTAAGCTCTATTATGCAACAGTCTGACCAGGTGGTAACATGAGCAGAGCTGTGTGGGAAGACCACCCTGTTAGGATACAGCTGGGAGAAGACTCTGGAAACAGGCCCTTCCTCTCTCAAGAGGAGTGGAAATAGAAGTATTTTGTTGTGGAGCATTCTGAATTTAGAATTTTCTTGATTTTTTTCCCCCAGAAATTAAATATTTCTAATTAAAGTTCTCATATGGGAAGATACTGTTTAAAAGATTCTGGGGATGTTGACACTGAGGTAAAAAAGATACTCCCTTTAACATTACATTTAAAGAATTTATGATTCATGGATTAAATACTAGAAGTGGTTGTGAATGAGTATAAAATATTTATCCTATCGTCTTTGTATTAGTTTTTTGAATTAGTAATACTTCACAGGATTCAAAACTCAAAAGGTACAAGAATATGCAGTGAAATCTTCCCATCAATTCTGTCCTACAGTCATCCAGGAAGCCACCGATGTCACTAGTCTCTTGCTCTTATTCAGAATGAGGATAAAGGGACAAGTGGAAAAAATTGGAACCCAGGTACTTTACCTGGTCACTCCACCACGTCACTGCCACGTGAAGGCTGTAGTCACAGCAGACTTTGGGATCGGCCCAGTCTCGCCAGGTCTGGAAGGCCTCGATGAGGGAGTTCCCTTTCTGAGGAATGGCAAAGTCAATGATCATGGTGGTACCTCCGGCCAGCGCAGCCTGGAATCACAAGAGGGTTTCAACAATTTGACCATCAATTTTCTGGTAAAGTCATTTATCACCTTGAACAATGTGCATTTGCAAGTACTTGGGCAAACCCCACAGGTCCAGGAAATTGCACAAAGATGCTGCCTACTTAAATGATCCAGAGAGGCATGAATGTCAGACTTTCCATAAATTAAAGCTGGAAGTATTAAAACTGCTGGAATTGCTTCTCCAAAAAAGCATGCCATATCTGATCAGATGAAAATGGCTTAGACCAAAAGAAAACAGTGAGGACTAAAGAAAAACTAAAATGGAAAAGTGAAAAAGATTCAAATGTTTTTCTTCTTAGGAAACTGTATCCATTATTGTAAAATTCCATTTTCTCAAGATCCATCCTGATGAACTATGTCTCCAGCTGACCCGTGATCCACGCAGAGTCCTGGGAGACGTACATGGTTCCCGCCTTGCCTCCGTTCCCTGAAACTAGCCAGTGACCCTTAATCTTTGATTTGCATCTGCCCCTCTATCCATTTCCATTGCCCTGGTCTGAATTCAGACCTTCATTTCTTGCCCTGATGATCAGGGCAAGTACTGATGGCTCTTCATATCCCATCCCCTCTCATACAAGCCCTCATTGCAAAGAGAGGGATCTTTCCAGGGCACAAATGTGACAACTTGACTCCTAAGATGGAAACTGAATGCTTTTCACTGAAGTTGCATCTTCTTAACATGATCTATAAGTCCCTGCATTCTGCATCAACTCTTAATATGCTCCTTGGCATATTATATTACATTACATCATGAGTCTTTTATTTCAAGATCAAGCCTTGCTCTGTCAACCAGGCTGAAGTGCAGTGGTGTGATCATGGCTCATTGCAGTCTTGAAGTTCTGAGCTCAAGTTATCTTCCCATCTCAGCCTCCCGATAGCTGGGACTACAGGCATATGCCACTATGTCTGGCTAATTTTTCTTTTCTTTTCTTTTCTTTTTTTTTTGGTAGAGAAGGGATCTCTCTATGTTGCCCAGGCTGGACTTGAACTTCTGGCCTCAGATGATCCTCTCTCTTCAGCCTCCCAAAGTGTTGGTACTATAAGCAAGCATGAGCCACTGCACGCAGCCTTCACATGACTAATTTAAGAGCTGTCCTAAATAAAATGTCTTTGACTATTTATTTGTTTGTTTGTTTGCTTGTTTGTTTGAGTCGGGGTCTCACTCTGTGCCCGGGCTACAGTGCAGTGGCACAATCACAGCTCACTACAACCTCAACTTCCTGGGCTCACCTGATCTTTCCACCTCAGTTTCCCTTGTAGCTGGGACTATAGGCATACACTACTACGCCCGGTTTTTTTATTTTTATTTGTTTGTAGAGATGAGGTCTTGCTATGTTGCCCAGGCTGGTCTCCAACTCCTGGGCTCAAGCAATCCTCCCACCATGGCCTCCCAAAGTGCTGGGATTATAGGTGTGAGCCACTGCACCTGGCCTGACCAATTATTTAATGTCATTTAAAGTAAAATCACAAGATGGTGAATATATTTTTAATTATTACATTCAAACAATGTAAGTGAAGAAAACAAACATGGACACAAGGGACAGTAATATGTGGTTTAGGGCAGGGACCCTGGAGGCTCAGGGGCAGTAGGCACAAAGCTCAGATTTAACACTTCTTTGCTGTGTAATCTGAGCAATTTCTTGACCTCTATGCGCCTTTGATTCCTCATCTGCAATGTGAGGACAATAACTGTACCTAAACGGTAAGTTTATTAGGAGGATTAAGCTGAGGTGATGTCTATAAAGTGCTTAGTATGGAATTTGACCCATGGTAAGTTTATGATCTTCAGCACTATTTCAGGATTAGAAATGTTCCCATCTTTCCTACATTGTCTCATCACATCACCAGAAATATGGTAATGTTACAACACAGGAGGGAGCAGTGCCCCCAGCCTGTCTCCTAAAGCCTGTCACTCTCCCCACACAGCCTCCAGACACTGTGAATGTTCCCAAGTCTCACCTGGTGCCAGCTCTATTCTGCACACCACCACCACCACCCTTTCCTTTTTGTTTTGCCTACTTAAATAGATTTTTATTTTTCATTAAATCACTTGGCCTCACTCCAATTCTTTTTGCTGTCAAAGTTTCACTTTTTGTACAGGATCCTATCCTGGATCCTGTACAAGGTTTCCAGCTTTGAATAATATTGCCTTATCCATGGCAAAACAATACATATTGGCATTTCTTAAGAAATTCCTATTGGTGTAATGACAATACTAGAAAATAATTCCTCAGGCTCTGTATTTTTATTTGAGTACAGATTAATCTTCTTACCTTCTTCCTTCTTAAAGTGTCTTCCCAATAAGACAGGATATCCCTTGAGGAAGAAGGGCATTTTTCTAATAAAATGTGCTATGAGTTATATTGTTAGAAGAAAGTACTTTACTAGTATCTTGAACTAGAAAATCAAGCTTAAGGAATGATTTTTTTCTTTCTTTTCCTATTAAAAGTCTCCCACATGTAGAATGTGGAGAAACTAGATTCACTGTACAGCCACTTTAGAAAACAGTTTGGATTTCCTCCAAAAGTGAGACATAGTTATTGTGGGACCCAGTAATTCTACTTCTAGGTATATACCCCAAAGAAACAAAAACATGTCCACACAACAACTTGTACACAAATATTCAGAGCAGCAGGTGCCAGAATAGCCAAACAGTAGAAACAACATCCACCAACTGATGTATGGATAAACAAAATGCGGTATGTTCATGTAATGAGATAGTATTTGGCCATAAAAACAAATGAAATACTCACTCCTGCTCCAACATGAATGAAACTTGAAAACATGATGTTGAGAGAGAGAAGCCAGTCACAAAAGACCATCTGTTGTCTGACTGCATTTATATGAAATGTCCAGAAAAAGGCAAATCCATAGATACATCAAGTAGAATAGCGGTTGCCTGGAACTGGAGGGGACTGGGAGAGTTGAGGATGAGAGCTACGGGGTATGATGTTTCTTTTGGGGGTGAAAAAAATGTTTCAAAATTGGTTGTGGTGATAGTTGTACAACTCTGTGAATATACTAACAACCATGGAACTATGCACTTGAAATGGCTGTATGTGAATTATATCTTAATAAAACTGTTACCAAAAAAAATCTACCACATGCAAGTCATTTCACGGAGGCCACACAAATCATCAGGCAAAAATTTTGCCCTCAGGGAGTCTATGGTCTAAGGGAGATTAAAAATATGAATAAATAAAGCGAATACATAATTAGATTGTAATAACAAGGAGCAAGTCTGCTTCTATAATAAACAGTAGTATGGACATTGCTAAGGGAAGGTAAACACTGCTAAGCTCCCTAGAAGAGGTACAGCGAAAAGAAGATTGGAAATTCAGAGGAGGAAAAGATCAACTCAGAGAACAGAGAAAACTTGCATTTAATTTAGGAGTAGGACTGACACCAGGAAATTGCCAAGTAAGTATAATAATATCTAACTCATAGCAAGTGCTTATCATGTGCCAGGAATTATTCTGATGGGTTGCATGTCTTAGTCATCTCAACAGCTCTGTAGCAAGTACTATCAGTAACCCCATTTCAGAGTGGAGGAACCTGAGCACAGAACCATCAATAACTTGGCCAAAGTCTCACAGCCAGCAGGATTAGAAGCAGAATGCTCAAGGCCCCAGAGCCTGTGCCCCCAGGAAACATGAACAACAGAGGGAAGCTCTGAGAATGGGGACCTGAAGGGAGGAGGCAGCAGCTCCACACAAAGTGGTAAGGGGCAGAATAAAGGGGCAACCAGAGCCCTGTAAAATGGTGAATCCCAGGGGACAAAGACTGGGCAGCGGTTGTCTTTGGGAGTGAAGGGAGTCAGGTGAACAGGTTTGGCTGGGATGGTTGGGAGATGACAGATGGTGGACAGGGGAGGGGCGTGGCTGATGCTTAGGAGTTAAGTGGGGAACAACTGAGGGTAAGGTGTGGAGGAACATGTCCCCTTGGTGGTGTCTGCAGATAGGAAGAAATGCAGATATGATGCTGAAGAGCATGCAAGGCTAGGGGAAAGATGTGGGAGTGACCTGGTAGAGGATGCCAGAGGGGCCCTGAGGCTGGCTGAAATGTCCAGAGAGAGAGAAGGCAGATATGACAGCATGGGCCACAGTTCCACGCTCCAGAAGATATCACCACTTAGTGTGAAAATGATACAGGACTAAGCCAAGGCAAAAAGTGTGCAGTGGCTACTTCTGGGGGATATGATTACAGGTCGTTTTAATTTTCCCCTAATTAAATTTTATTTTCAATATTTACTAAATTTTAAACTAAAAGCAGAAATTTTATAAAAAAATAAACATTTTACATGTAAATATATGACACAAAGAAACATACACATGTACAGTCATGTGCCACATGACGGCATTTTGATCACTGACAGACCACATATACAATAGTGGCTCCATAAAATGATATAATACTGTATTTTTACCATACCTTTTCGATGTTTAGATATGCAAATACTTATACTTGCAGTATTCAGTACAATAACATTCTATACAGGCTTGTAGCCTGGGAGCAGTAGGCCATACCTTATAGCCTAAGCATGTTAGGCCAGACCATGTAGGATTGTGTAAGTACACGCTACAATGGTTGCACAATGACAAAATCTCCTAGTGGTGCATTTCTCAGAACATATCCACATTGTTAAGCAACACATGAAACAGACAGAGCAGCTGGTGGTCATTTCACTACACCGAAGGTGTTACGGTCAAAGGGCCACTCTTCTAAGGCAGATGGAAATTCCTGGGGCTACACATTGAAAGCTCTTGAATGAATATTGGCCACAAATGCTCCACCTTCCTAATTAACTAGGAGCAGGGAAGACACAGGAGAGGAGCAGTCATATATCTTTGTTTCTTCTTGTTCTGTTTCTTCTCCTCACTCTTCCTTCCTCTCCTCACCTTCAGACTGGGAAAGGAGTGTAGAGAAACAATAGTGAATGGAAGAGGATACCCTGGGCCCAATTCCTTACATATTGCTACATGAAACCTAATTGACTCCTTTGTTTTTGCTTCTGATTGACTTTTCTCCACTTTTATTTGTCAGCTAGCCAAGCAAAAGCTATTTACCTTTCCTAATCTTGGCTCATAAATCAATTCCTTCAACTTATTATTGTGGGTGTTCTCCCTTTTTGAAAACCTTCCAATTGTCTAAAAACTTCTTTGGGGTGACAAGGAGCTGTCTTCAGTGCAAATGCATTG